GGGTCCTCTCGTTGCTGGGTGGAAAATGCTGCTCAGCCTCCATAACCTCTGCTCGCTGCCTGAGGCTTGGCAAACCTCTTCCTCAGAGAAGAGGATTTGACACCTGCCTCTAGGTGAAAGTCCCCAGCAAAAGGTTTCAATGCGTTCTGAGGGGTTGTTTTACATCAGAAGCACAGCACAGCTCCAGGCTTCCCAATGGAGCCGGTCTGCACCTCCCTGCTGCCCACCTCTACCCTCTGATTTGTAGTCCCTTGCCATCCACAGCCAGCATCCTGCTGCTGGGCAGAATATCGTGTCCCTCCTCTACCTGCCACAAACATCTACCAGCCCCGTGGAGGTCACAGACCTATCCTTCCAATGGTGCCCAGCTCACCCTCACCAAAATGGGACGAAGGTTAGATGTGACCCTGGCACTGCCAGTCACTCAACACCCCTCTGTGGAGACAGCCCTGGCCAGCACTCTGACTCTTGCCAGGTCCTTCCCTAAGTGAACAAGTCAGGCTCGGTCCCCCCAAAGTCTCCATCTTCCTCCTCCTCGCTGGCCGCAGCTCCACTACCCTGCTGCAGGCCGGCAGCTGGGGAACATGCTGACAGAGGGAGATTTCGGCTCCGATGCATCAGTCAGGCTTAGGGGCCCACCAAGCAGCGCGAGGGCAGGCTGCTGGGCACACCATCACACCCACATTGCCATCTAGCCTCCTGCTCTGGGATGTGCAGCTCGCCACTCTCACCCCTGCCAACCCAGCAATGCTCACTTTGGACCAAGGTCCAGCCTCTGGCTACATCCCCTTCGATTCCTCTGAGGCTTTGGCCATTATCCCCTCCTCCCAGCCCCCAAAGTCGCTAGCTGCCTCCCCCAGCAGCGTGGTCCATCCACTCTGCTGGCACAGGGCCACAAGACAGGGCCACGTGTCTCCAGCCTCGGTCTCCAAGCAGATGGAAGACATCAGCTCCCCACTGCATCCCTCTGCGATAATCTGTCTCACCCGCTTCCTTTCAGGGACATCCCTTCTCACGGCCAGCTAATCCCCAGTGCTTGCCTGTCTCTTTCCAGCATGTCTCTTCTGGGCGAGCACCTCCCAAAAGCCATCTCTTCCTATTCAGGCAGGATCCTCTAAGAAAAAGGCCCCCGCTCTCTCAACTCCCAAGGAAGAATATCTGGACATAAGGTCTCCACCATCACCAGGGGAATAGGCACCCTCTCAGGAGCTTCATCTGACACAAACCCATATCCAAACACACAGAATGGACATTAACCCAGGAACCCAGTCGGAGCTGACCAGAGAGGCACATTTGTAACAGTGCAAGAAGACCCTGGGAGGATTCTGCCCTTGGCTTCCCCTTGCCTCTGCAGTGAGTGGCAGGTGCCCCACGGCCTGCACAGGAGATGAGAAAACTCCTCCTAAGCACCATCTCACAGTAGGAAGTTTTCCCATTTACCATATAAAATCACGTTAATGGCAGAATAATAAACATAAGGGAGCAGGGGAGAGAGTGACCTTGTGGCAGCAGCTGAGGTAGGTGGTGTTTTGGTTTCTCTTCTCTCCTCTGAGGGAATCATCCCAGCAGCCTGCAGACATCCTTCAAGAAAAGGACCTGCAAGAATTGCTACCCAGAGGTAATCGGAGACGGTTTCTTAGCAGGACAGATGCACAAGGAAAAGCCTCCCATTATGGGAGTGCTCAGTCTCAAGCACATCTCCAAGAAGAATGACACAAGCTGGAGCCCAGGAAACCCATCACCTGCTTCTGGGACACCAACATCTCCACACTTGGAAGGCTCTGGGAGTCAGGAGCAGAGCAGGGGACCAGCTTGAGAATAAGCAGTTATCATCCCCTGTACCAAAATAAAAGAGAGGATCTGGAATACAGGGCCTACTCGAAGGAAAACAGAGGGCCTGGAGAACCTACATCACCCTGGGCCACTGGCAAGGAACTATCCACCTGCTCCTGCCCACAGGGGCTCTGCCACCAGAGCAGTGCTGGGGCAGTCGGGGGGTGACCACCCCACAGCCACAGTGGGGACGAATTCACTGGGACAAGTGGGAGCCAGCTAAAGGCTCATCCACGAGCCAGGCCCTTCCCCCGCAGAGAGATGCTGCTCCAGGCAGCGCCTGGAATTTACCAAGCACAGAGCTGTCACCATGGGCCAGGGAGTTCTGCTGAGGCCACGTTCCTCATTAGAGAAAGACGGGTAAAAACTGCAGGAGACACTCTACGGGATATGCTTAGCTTAGCTGTCTGCATGTCTGCTTATTAAGCTCTGAGCTTCAGGATTTAGTTCCACATATCAGTTTACTTAGAAATAAAGCTTCGCTTCACATTTTAATCTTAAGTATGCTGCATTGTCTTGCCTGCTTCCTCTCATGCCCTCTCCCCATGACCTCTTTCCCAGCAAAATGCTGGAAAGTTATTAGCAAATATTCTGTGAAATATTTAATATCCAAACAGCGGGGTCTGTGCATCCCATGCGGGACTTGTAGCTCTTATGGTCAGGACAAGAAGAACAAGGATTATTTGCAGGCCCCCAGGTCCTACTGGGAGACACTTTGAGGCTGGAGTTGTTGCCAAGCAAAAACCCCACAGTAAAGCAGCTCTTTAGATGAGTTATAAAACCAAGCTAGCTGGGATGGAGGTATTCCAGCTTTGGGATGGACCCCACTTACACTGTGCCCACAGCCTTTGAGCACACACTTAATACCCTATACAAGTGAGATCTGAAAGTGCATTTTCTGGTCTTATGTTAGTGAAAGCCATCTTTCTCTTCCGTTCTCAAAAGGATTCACACTGAGGAAGTCCAAGATCCTTAGGCCCTTTGACCTCAGGCAGAGCCCAGCTAGTCCTTCTGCTTGCTGGAGGATGCCGGTGCCAGGCAGCCCTGCCATGCCAGACCACTGCCTGCCACTCCACTTCAGGCATTGGTGCACTCACCTGCATGGCTCCCTGCAGTTTGTTCACCATCCTGTTCAGCAAAATGACACAAACATCACCTCCTAGCACAGAAAGTTCCTCTTGGAAGTTGACTGCACTCAGAGAGACTGGAAAGACTGACACCAGCCAGGCGAGCATCTGCTCCAGTGCTTGTCAGTGGGCAGATGTCTATGAAGCAAGCAGGCTGAGGGCTTAAGGGCAATGCCTGTGGGGTTCAGGAGGACTCAGAGCAGGAGACCAAATATCCACTGGCCCATGGACAACAGCTAACAAGGAATGTGCTGCCAGCAACAGTCAATTCTTCTTTCCAACAGAACTGGGCAGGACACAGGCTTGGGCCCCTCCAGTTCACAGGGAAGTTTTACTAAGCAGGACAGTGCTGTTACTTAAAGATTGAGGCTGAACGTAAATTTGAAGTATCATCTGTGTTACCTGGAGTTATGAGTACAAGGGGATCCAGAAGTCACCTTTTCCATGGGCAATGTGGATTCCACAGTGCCGATTAGAGGGCAGACATCTCTGCCAGGAGTAACTAGTGGAAGTGTGGAACAGCACAGCGCTGCAGTCTTCAGATCTTCATGCAGGGGCAACCTCAGGGCCAAGGCAAGGAGCTTTCCCAGCACAACCAGGAGGGGAGGTGGAAGCACAAGGCAAAGCCAGCAGCTGCTGCCACCACACCTGTGAGGACTGAGCTCAGGGCTCTCAGCCCTTGGACTATTCAGAGAAGAAAACTTCCTGAGGTTGGTCAGGTGGAGAGCACAAGGCTGCACCTCAGACCTAGCCCATTCACCTCCCCTCCCTACCTCTGCTTCCTCACCTCTGGGACACCCTGTTGAACCACACATGGATGAAGTTGTAGGCCATCATGCTCTCCCAATTCTAATTCCTCCCGAAGACTTTTCTTGGGCAGACATAAAAACTAATCCTTGTATTGAAAGTGCCCAAGGCACCAAGAGTTTATCACATCTCTCTTCTATTCCATGTGAACCCATCTTGTAGATCACAGTGCCATGGGGCCAGGGAATGCACTTTGTGTCTTGCTCCTGGGGAACTAGTAAAGGCAGAAACAGGAGAAAGAGAGCATAAGCAGCACAAAACGAGGACTTTCATGTTCTCATTTTAATGTTTAGAGACCAAATTAACACCACCAGAGCAGGATCATTTTCCAAACACACTGCAGATGATCTGTAAATTAAGTCAATGTTCTTTTGGAGAAAAAACAAGATATTTCAATATTTAAACCAGTTGCTTGTAATTCTTAAACAGCAAGAGAGACTCTTGATGAACCTCAACTTTCTGACATTTCACCATTTTCTAGAAAAGTACCGAAGAACAGCTACTGTCTGAAAGGATACGAACACGATTGCCAGAGACCTTTCCCGGCTTTCATACAAAGTTATGGGCAATGGCCAATACTTTGGAGAATTCTCCTTCTCTCTGCCGCAAGATACAGGGTATTGGTGTTTTTATTCTAGTCCCCACTGGATTTCCGTTGTCTTCTATGAGTACCACATTGTTGGAATCAAATCTAGGCGTCATGGTGGGGCCAGGCATCTTGTGCCCTACAATTAAAGCCTTCTTCTTTTCTCCTTTGATAGCCAGAAGGATCTTATCTCCTACTTTGCCGACTCCGGTCTTGTTATATACGTGAATACACTTTGGTGGCCGGTGGTACGGCGTGTTCCCTAAGGTGCTGTTGTCCACCACTCGCACGCGGGTGAGTTTCTGTATTGCTCGGCATGCTCCAGTGAGACTAGGAAAAGACAGCAAACAATAGGAGATAGATCTCCCCGGTAATCCTCAGGGAGGCAAGGGCAAACCCAGCACAGGATCTTGTCATTACACAAACCCCTCAGAAGGCGCCAGCAGCAAATACATACCATATGGGGGACACACTGACTACATTCTATGTGCACTTTGAAAGCTAGATACTACTTTGGGCTTTGCACACTCTTCACTAAAAGTCAAACATAAAAAAAGTCTACTCGGAAACATGGCTGAAAGATGGTGTGAACAGTGGCTTGCCTTTACTGGGCATTTTAACAACTGCACGCGATTCCATTCACCTTCAATTTACAAGCAAAAAATTGTCCTTGCTTCTGCTACAAAGAGCCTGCAGGAAGCTAAGACTGAAGTTAGGCTCCTTTAGTCTTGTACACAGTCCCAGCAATAAGGACTTTTCTGACCAATCTTCTTTTCAGAGTAGCCTATGAGGGTTTTCCATCTTATTCTGTTCTCAGGGAGACCTCTGAAGCCCTGCTGTGGCTGTGTTAAGCTGCCCCCAAGTAGAATCTAACAGATCATCACCTTCCCCCTGTGGGAGGAACAGAGAAACATAGTGTCTTCTGTATCTGCTCTGTGGGATTATCAGGAGCAAGAAACAACAGAAATAAACTGCAAGATATTAATTTGTTTGATCTGACTCTGAATTATGTTTGGGGACAGCAGGAAAAAAAAATAATTCAACCTCCCTTACAGGAACAGCTATTCTTTTATCCAGTAAGGTCAAATTCAAGTGATTCGCTGGTTTTCTTCAAAGGACACCCAAACACAGACCATCAGAAATGCAGGAAGATCCTCTCTCCTGCTGAACAGCTGCTTTGCAGTAAGGTACTGGAAACATGTTGGCCAGAGAGCTCCTGAAACATCAAGCTACTGTCAGTGGAACTACTTAAATAGACAGCATATGGAATCAACCTAACCGTTCACCTTGTCTGCAGACCAGGAGCAAGTACAGTGAATAAAGACCTACAGGGACAATTGTTCCTTTTTCGGGATGCAGGACCTGTATTTGCACTGCTGCCTAGAAGAGCAAGCCACCCACTGTGTATCAGCCATGGTGTGGGCGGACATCAGTTGAAGCAGACATTTCTCCACGAAGGGAGAGCCAGCTCTGTCTGTCTGCATTAATCTAACTGCTTCACAAGTCAAGCGTTGCCTTTCGAGATTTGTTTCCTACAGCAGAGGCCTACTGCCTCAGCTTTCCCCTACAAGAGGATACCTCTTTTCTCTCTCGCAGAAGTCACTCACCTCTGTAAGCAGCCACCGCCTCCCACCCCACCCTCCGGCAGGGACTATACTATACCACAGGCTACCTGGCTGTGGTTGCACAGCAGGGAAAGCAGAATGGAGGAGGCTGGAAAATGACAAGAGTGTTGTCAGAGGAAGGAGAAGAGGAAATCCAGGTGGGACCAAGTCCACAACGCAGCAGCAGCAAACAACTGTGTGAATGCCCAGGTACCACCAGACAAGAGTAACAGCACAAGGACAACATTTTCTTTCCCCTCCTCTCTTCATTTCTGCCACAGTCTTGGAGCAAAACCCCACCATGTAGGAAAGGTTTCTCCAATAAAACTGCTGACATCCTGGAGCAGCACTGCTCACCTCTGTGGAGCTCAACTGCCTCTCCCTGTCAGAGTGTATATGTGTGTATATATATACACACACTTTGAACGCCTACCAGCCAATATTGTCAGGCAGTCCATTTACAGAGAAAGCCAGTAAGACTTAGATACCTCCTAAAGATAGCTTCTGGGACTGTCACACAACCTAGCCCTGGGCACTGTCTTCATCTCCTCTCTAGACCACAGTCATGGGAATGACTCTTCTCACCCTTTAAACTGAAGCCCTGACCCTTCAAAGAGTTGTATGCTAGAGATCCCCATACCTGCACTGAACGTACTGTGGGATTAGGCTCTAAGCTTTGTGCAAGGCATTGTAAAATATGAGGTCCATGAATTTAAAAAGCTTTAAACGCCTGGAACAAGGACCTAAAGAAAAATAACAAAATGGACACCATTAGGTACAAGGAAATAATTTTCCAGGTTACTTCTATGCTAAATAACTGAAATAATAACCTCTGGAACAATTTTAAATCTGTAATTGGCTCTGCATCAGTAGGGGCTGGCTGTTGCTTTTTTGCACTTGGCTAAGAAAGACAGGCACTCTCAACTTCTGCTTGCAGGCCCTTGCACCGTCCTCAAAGGCCTAAAAAGTCTCCTTACACACATATGAAAACGCAGAGTTCAGACCATGTTTAGACTGCCAGAAACTTGCATATGTTGCTGTGTTTGGGCTCACTTTACAACCTGTGAAGAACTAACTACGAAGTGGGGTTTTTTTATTATATTACTCCTTTTGAATTAGAGATACTGTCTCTTGTGCTCGACCTACTTAACAGCACCTCTTTCAATCAGGAAAGTCTCCCAAGAAAACAAAAGCAAAAGCAAGATTTGAAAATTACCTGAAATGTCGCTGCCACACCATACTGCTTAGCTGCATTAAAGATAAACCCAATCGCCTATTCAAGAGCGCCATTTGGATGCTGGTAGCCCACCCTGCAAGAGAAACATGAGAATTATGAACTCGAGTAAAATGGACAGAATTTGTTTCACTTCCCTAATGTGAATCTCCCACTAGAGACTAAGCACATCCACAGACAGTGCAATCCACAGCAGGCAGAGGGGTAACAGTGTCTGCCACATGCTGCAAAGCAGACCAGCAATCCCTGTCTGAATTCAGGAGACAATGTAACTCCGATTTGTATACTACAAAGCTGGATTCAGTATCACTGTATTGCAGTTTCCTACACAGAGAGGTAACTTCTGCATGACTGTGAACCTCCTAACAACAAGCAGGTTGAGAATTTCAGACATGAACTACTTTAGAAGCTGCAGTGACCAGTAAAAGCTACCAATGTGACATACAAAGCCAAGCAAAAAATCCAGCGATACTCTGCAGATCAGCATCAGAGCTTCAAGAAACCATCTGCCGAACAAGAAACAAGATGAAGCTCCACCAGTGAGGGCGTGCTCCCTCTTAGCACACACAAGGCATTCACTCAGCAGCCCATGTTCAGAGACCAGAACCACACCTCTGCCAATCTTGCCCTTTCAAAGCTGCTCAGATGAAACTTCAGAGTGTCCACTCAACTCAAACCAAAACACCACCCCCACTGCAGCAGCGCTGGGCTGCAAGGGTAATCCCCAACGAATCTCACCATACCCTCTTCCTTGTCCACATCGACAGCAGTTCCCCAACCTCATTCTGACAGACTGACGGGGACTCGCTTGCACGCGCAGTCGCGACAGCTTATCTGAACCTGGATGGCTTTGCCAGACGTCAGTCTGGGAGTGATGACCCAGCTGCGCTGGCAGATCCAAGCGAGGAGAGGAAACCACACGGTCCTCTTCCAGGTCAGCTCAGGTAGAGCTAGGACTTTCCATCTGGCTGCAACTACCACTGTGTGACACTGTTCGCTTAGACCTCAGCAGCATAACCAACACATGTTCCGCTTCTCTCCTTTCTAAAGTAAACATAAAAAAATCCACTGACCTCTTATCTCCCTTTGCCAGTTCTGATGAACCAAACTGCAGCAGTAGATTGTAAAGCCATTTTCTTAACTTTTCTTTTAAAAACAGAGCTGACCTAACTTCTTTAGGGAGAAAAAAGATACCCACGGAACCTTCTGACAGATGGTGCCATGGCTGTTCTTATTACTACCAAGTAAAACCCAGGCTAAATCTTCACTCTCTCTTTATTGTTTTCGTTTTCCCCTCGTGTGCTTGCTCTTCTGGGGATGTATGAAATTGTTAGGGTTTCCGGTTGTCCTACAGAGCAAGTGATACCTGACAGCAGGATGAGAAGCACTGGAGATATGCACCACAGCAATTCTGTAGCCATGCTCCCTGACCAAAGCACACGATTCACGGCAAACCAGCTCATCTGCCATATAGCAGATTTGGAAGAGAACAGTAACAGCCAAAGCTTATGTTTATTTGCTAAACAAAGCTACTTTTCAGTGGGGTAGATCTCCAAAGGAGAGCTTCACCTTCTGTCTCCTCTCAGAAATAAGATTCCAAGAGGGACATAGTTTTGCCACAGCTCCTTACCTAGCTGGGTGAACCTAATGAAAAAAAGCCTTACGGTACTCACAGTGCTCCTGGCAATCAAGGCTCAGTTACCTGGGCCTTGCTGCTGCTCCTAGGATTTCTTGGCAAGTTCCACGATGTTGCCTCGTTGTAATGCATTGGCAGGGAGGACAGCCTGTATCCTGTTTTGCACCTGGGTGTACTGTTTCCCTGTTACCCAGCGGGTAATACTGCTCCTCCTTCCTCTGGAATCGCATGGAGTCTGTGGATCCCTCGAGAAAACCTAAGCCAAAAGCAGCAGCAGCAAGTTGGCCTCTCTGTTGTCTTCAATGGATGCTTCTTGGGGAGTCTAGCTGCTGCTGTCACCTCCATCTCTATTTTCTGGTAGGCACAGTGGCCTGAGTGGCAGAAGAGTATGGGTCTGCTCATCCTCACCACTACCTAAGACCAACAGGAGAGGTCTGCTGACTCGTGGCAGGCACAGGCACACGCTCTGCCCACTGTCAGAGGGACAGCAGCACCGTGACTGGCCCAGCATAACTAGATGTGCTCAAGGCTCCTAGTCAGAATCCTGAAGGGCTGCCTAAACCCTGAACTCACTGCTCATTCCAGGGAGGAGTCACTGTTTCCACCCTGTGGCAGCAGTGAAGGTTTGAAGTTAGAAAACTACCAGCAGAAGCATCAACAGCATTAAGTGTCCAAGGACTGTTTATTTTTCCACATGACTCAGTACCCCCTTCTTTGCTAAGAATTATTCCTTGGCACATTAAGATGTGTCACAAGCTAAGAAATTCTGTATGATTGATTATTTGGTATGAAGCATCCTGTTAGGAACTGAGTAAACATGGGGGATGCTTCTAATTAGGAGGAAGGTTCAGAGTGGAGTGAAGAGAAGAAGGCATCCATGGCATGGAGTACAGCACTCAAGGGTGCAGGTGGGTTCACAAAGAGTGAATCACATTTTCAGCTATTGTAACGTGCCAGTTCTCCTTCTAGAAAAAGAGCTAATACTTTGGGTCAGTCTCCAGGTGCTCTTCAACCAGACACCATCCCAACTCGCTCCCTGTGTGGCTGAGAACTAGACCTCCTCTGCCTTCTGGAGCAGCTAATTACTAAACTAAACTCCAAGGGGCGCAGAAGCTTCTCGCTCTGGCATGCTGGGTGCTGCCACAGGAATGGTCCCAGTTAGTGCCAGCGTTGAAGAGCTGCTATAAAGCAATGACAGCCACTGGCCCCAGAGCTCCCAGCACTTCTCCCGAGTCCTGATGTCACCTCACGCCTGTATGCCTGAAAAAAGGCACGCGGAAGCTACACTTCGCAAGGGCAGTGCGTGTGACCCAAGTTTGCTTCTGAAGGTGGCTCTCCTCGAGTCATCAGATTTCAGTGCTCAGAGGTGTATGACAAGAGTTCCAGCCTAACCCTCAAGGACAGGAAAATCTGCAGGAATTCCCAGAAGCCTGCTGTTGGTGTTGCCCAGATGATGTACGAGTGCACCCTACACTGCCCTAGATAGGCAAAACACCACCGCTGTTTAGTACACTAATGCACACCCGAGCAAGGAATTATCCTGGAAGGGACCTTCAAAGGTCATCTAGTCCAATCTCCTGCTCAAGAAGGATTAATTTCCAAGTTGTTCATGCTGGACAAGAGGAGTATTTAAATGGACACTATCCCAAAATGGAAGGCCTAACACAAAGACAACACCAAAGCAGTGATAAGTGTGCAGAGAAATTCCTCTCCCTGTCCCTACCCTGCTGGCCCTAAATTCTAGCAGTGGCTCAGTCTCATGGTTAGAAAGACTAATTTCTTAAAATCAAAATCCAAGAGATGCTTTGCTTCTCACCACTCCACATACCTGTTAAAAGTTAGCACAGAACTCACAGTTCGCAGTAAGACTCAGAAAGGGTGGAGGAGTTTATTAATCAAATATTCACCAAAATGACCCACTTTTCTATTTCACTGAATAAGTTTGAACACGTAATAACCTGCTGCAGCAAACATTCCCTTCTTGAGGGCCCTTCAGCCTTACCCTATTCAATGCAACAGACCGACATCAAATTTCAACAGCACACAACAAAGAAGCTCTTCACCACTTACAAACCTCTGGAATTTATTTACCCACTGCACCATTTTCAAGTGCCATACTAAAGCTACTGCCTTCACCAGGTTTCCTCAAGATTAAATAGCTAGCATACATTTACTGTGGTGTTCACTGGTTTTTGAATGGATGAATTCTAGAAAATTTCATCCCAGCTAACAGAAGCAGGCCACATACAATATTTTTGTCAAATACATGCAAATACATGAGTAGACCAGCTCAGGGAGCTGATACAAAGCAAGGACATCTTCCAGATAAGGAGGACAGGATTACATACTCACTTTGAACCAACGTCAGGGCACACAGTACTAAGAAATGAAGCCCTGTGTGTGTACCAGCACACATTTCCATCACCTCCTTTATTCTGGCTCTAGCATTCATGTAAATCAGTCAGTTCTGAAGTTCCCTGACCCAACTCATCGTGCAGCTGCATGAACACTGGTGTGAGGGAATGTGGCAGAAGGTAAGAATGGGACTTATGTCACTGCCAACCCCAACTTATATCATGACAGTATCTCCAGAGAAACACCAGGAGATTTGGACGAGAAAATGATCTCTTCCAATTCAGCAAAAATACCGATGTGCTTCACAAGAATAGAATGTATGAATGTGCACTGTTAACACAGACCTAGGAGCACTAAAAAGGTCTGCATCTGAACACTCAAGAGGCCACTGCAGTGGCTCTGACCAAGATTTTATCAGTGGTGTATACCCTAAAGAACCAGTCAGGTTACCATTCCTACCCTGCCTGCATTCTAAAGTAAATGTACTTTCAAATAGTACTGTTACCTAGCAATCCAGTACCACTTTCCCTTTTAATCACAAGTTTTGAAAATGACACCTGCTTCCCAAGATGTGTAGTCCCACAACCATTCAGCTATTTCTTTTCCTTCTTTCTGCTAGTAACTCACCCACACAAACAGGCCCCAGAGAAAACCAGGGATTTGCAAAGCAAACGCTGAGGCCTACTGCCCAAAGTCTGCTGTCAAACACACAAAACAAAACAGGGAAAAATATTCATCACTTTAATAGTAGCAACCTGATCGGCACTGACAACCAGTGGGGGCTAACATCCCTGTATTCTTCTGAGACCAAAATAGACATGCTCCAGGCACCACAAAGATTTGAACTGTATCTGTCATCCGTTATTAAAGCACAAGGAAATAAATCCAAGTCAATATGCACAATGCAAATACCTCAATCCCTAGTCCGCCACTGCAGGTCTATTTATAGACCATCTGCTAGGGTGAGCTACAAGAGCCAACTGTGAACTACTGGACTCAATCCATTCACAGCTCTCCTCATAAAGGAAACAATGTGATTAAGGGCTTGTGTGAGTTAAAAACATA